AAAAGATCAATAAATCTTTTTTTAAAATAAAACAAAGTTTATTACTCTAATACACATCTGTTAGGGTTTGGATGGGGGGAGTCACTGTATAGAGGAAGGTGAGTGGGACAAATGTTTCAATTCTCTTTTTGTTTTTATTGCTGAATACTAGTCATTCTCTTACCAGGTTCCTGCATTTTTACCTCACGGCCCCAAACTCCACTCCTTCCTGAGGCTGTGTGAGATAAGGTGCCAGGGAAGCATCACACCTAAACCCCCACCGCACGTGCAGCCTTGGATGAATTACTCCTCTGTGGCTCAGCTGTCTCATCTGTAAAATGGCAATATTGAGTGTCTGGCGTATAGATGGATGGAAAATTTGAATCAATACAAGTACATATCATTATTACAAGAACCCTGAACTCTCCTTAAAGTTTCCAGTATTTCTCCTTAGAGTGTCTTCTGTTATTTAGAATGAACTGGGATTTCAGGGCAAGTGCTAGAGAAACTTCTAGAATTCCTCCTGCTGAGCCGCTGAGGCTGCCATGAAGGAGGGCTGGCACTGGCTGTGGTTCTTCTCCTGGCCACCTCCAGTTCCAGGCTGGTTGTCACTGCTGACTCACCGTGTGCAGCAGCTGGCAGGGGAGGAGGTGTTTACTGCCTCGTTAGCGCCTCTCTGCTCCCTGTGGGCACTGACCCCCACAGCTCCCTGTCCTGCTCAGAGCTGCCCCAAACAGTTCCTGTGAGAGCCCAAAGATTTCCCTGCCTGTTGCCCATTGCCATTCTTGGTTGCTTCTCCTTTCCTTAGTTTTGGGGGATAGAGATCTATATTTTGAAAGAACAGATCCCACAATCCCATGCTTACTCGTGCAGCACCTGAAACTGAAACTGGAGTTGCTTAGCCCAGAGACCTCCTCCTCTCCTTCTTCCCCCACACCTGCGGACCGGCCCCTCGGCTTTGCCACCCACGGTTTGGTATACGAACTGGGAAAGAAGGCAAGGACCCAAATGTGAATCAGATGTTTGGGACGATGAGTTAAGTTGGGGTGGAGACAATAGGAGGGACGTGGACCCTGCTAGAACTGCTTGTTGCTCTGACCTGCTGCCAAGGCTGAGAAAAATAGAGAGACTGTTCCCGGTTAAATACCCGGCTGTGGCCCGTGCCAAACTTTCCTGGGCCTCACTCCTGAGTCCCTGGCTCTGCTTCCAAAGTTCTCCGCATCCTTGTGCCAGCCATCATCTCGGCCTCCCTTTCCCACCACGCCAAGCCCCTAAGCCCAGCCTTACCCCCAAAAGTCAGGACTGGAATTTTGCTTTTACTCCCTCCATAGCTAATCCACAGTGACATTTTTGGAGCCAAAGCTCAAGATGTGGTCTGACAAGGGTTTTGTGCTGATCCCGGCTGTGAGAGGCCGTCTGGGGGACCTTGCTGGGACATGCCAAGGCTACAGCATGTCCAAGGTTCAGAGAGGCAACTGGTCAGAACCCCTAACACCAGAGCTCTGGCGCGGTACTCACTGCCCCTCACCCCCACCCCTCCAGACTGCTCCAGAGCCTGCCAGGCTCCAACTCTTTTGTCTACACAGGCTATGGTATCAACAGGTGGTGGATCAACAGAACCCACAAGTTTAAATCTGTTGCTAGGATTTCTCAAGGAAACACAAGCTGGTATCACAGTGAATCAGGTTTCACAGGACAAACTCCTCTGGGACAGGCAGCCTAAAGGCAGAGCTGGTTTTCCTCAAGGTCATGGCCCAACCCCAAGGCCCATCTAGTGGTGACCCAGTTCAGAAGCTTGAGGAATCAACTTCAGAATCAGTCTAGAGCCTGGGGAGCCACACACAACAGAGACCAGCCACTTCAGTGTCCCAGGTTTGATTAACTCTCAGAGAACCTGGAGCCAACTCTGTGTTTCCACCCACAGCAGTCACAACCAACACACTTCATGGCTTGCTCATTGAGCTGATTTGCTTTTTCATGCCTCAGGCTTCCAGGGCTTTCCGGGCTGTGGTAGCATTCTGTCTTTCCTCAGCTGCCCCCTGATGATCCTGACTCTCATATAGAACTTGTGACCACTATTGGTGTTGGAGATGTCTCCCTCTGCAGATCCGCTCAAGATTTTAATTCATTCACCGAGCTGCAGGCTCCTGGCCAGTTCCCCATTGCCAAAGTCAACACCTCGGGTCTGCTCTGTCTGGAAGGGCAGGTTTAAAAGCGTGTGTGTGTGTGTGTGTGTGTGTGTGTGTGTGTGTGTGTGTGAAGGGGAGGTCGGGAGGCCCTCAGCTCCCTTTCCAGGCCCATCCCAGGACTTGCTCAGGGGGTGACCTATTTATAGCACAAGGGGCTTGCTCCTGGGGTGTCGTGATTTGAAAGCCATCTTTAACAAGGGTTCTATTTCTTCTGAAAGTCAACGGCAAGAGTCAACTTCCCTCCTTTTGTGTAAGCAGCTAGACAAATTCCACTTGCAGCTGTTACTCTACAATATGGAAAGTTCAGAAATGCATAGACATGCTTCTCCCTCAACGCGGGACAGGAGGAAGTTAGATGATGCGGGAGTGGGCACAGCGCCCAAACTCCGGGGAAAAGAGATCACCCCACTCCTCCCCGCAGAACTGCGACTTGATCAGGCTGGGATCACATTCTCTTCTAAAATACTTACCTGAAAGGCAGTTACAGAGAGAAAGAGAGAGGGTGAACCAGTCACTTGTCCACTCCCCAGTTGGCTGGTCAAAACTGGGAAGCTGGGACTCCATCAAAGTCCCCATGTGGGACCCCCATGCAGTGGCCCAAGCACCCAGGTCATCCTTTGCTACCTTTCCTAGGCATATGAGAAGAGAACTTGACCGGGACTGGAACTGGTGCTCATATGGGATGCCAGTGTCACAGGAGGCAATTTAACCTACTGCACAAGATCGGCCGCAGGGATCACATTCTGTCTTGGATGTCCCTGGCTGCCTGCACAATACCCACTGCACAGGAAATGTTGGTCAGAAATGAGATGCACAGAGCCAGAGGCAAGAGGGTGGCCTTACACCTAGTAATAGAACAGAAAGAACAGGTTTACGGGCGAGGGTTGAGCGGGAAAGTCCATCTATAGGAAGTGACAAGGCAACTTGGCAGTAGGCCTCGGTCCAGGGCTTGGGAGACCTAGCACCAAATGACAGCCATCTACCCTTCCTCTTACACATTCTGTTTTCAAAGTAACACAAAAGCCATCAAAGGCTCTCCAGCTGGCTTGCAAACACTCGGCTAATGGGCAAACAGGAATGTCTTGGCTGCTCCCTGCTGTGGGAGTTCCGAAAGGGAGAGCTGTGGGTCTGTAATGAATAGGAAGATCAGGATTCCTTCACGTGTCAGTCCATAATGCAGGTGAGGTGGGGGGTGTCCAAACAGTGACTTCATCTTACAGGCGCTGCTCCCCACCCTGGAGGAGACACTGTGCTCACAGCCTCAACACAACCAGACAGTCTTGTTGCAAAAAGGTGGAAGGGAGGGAGGAGTGTCTCCTAACTCTGGCATTCTTGAAAATGTCTGCTTTCCCAGTGAGATATCCACCAGGAATTTGGCTTATGCCAAACAGTGCTGTTTCGTTTAAGGAGAGTTTACAGACAAAAGATTTATGCAAATGAGTCTTGCTCTGCAGACCTAGTTACAGAAACATCAGGAGATTGAGTGGCATATCTGCCTCCGCTCTCATTACTTTATTTACAGGTGACCCATGGATTCTCTGCTCAAGGAGGAATAGTAAAACTTTGGGCCTTTTTCCTTTAGTTCAGTCCTCAAGGGGAGCTTGCATTCTTTAAACTTAGTAGTTACTTCAAGTCGTTAATATCCTATAGAACTCTCTTCATAAGCCACTATTACTTGATGTACCTTTTAAAAGCTGCCTTCTCTGGGTACGCGGGGTCTTCTCTCCTTAAGCCCCAAATCTGACCGACTGAGGGTAAACCAAGGTAAACCAAGGCTCATCTCTCACAGCACCAAGGAACGCGAGGCCGACTCAGCACTGGTGGCCCAGCGTCTGGGCTGTGTCTAAACTAATCTCTGAGAGACAAACCAGAAATGTGGAGCTTGGGCTCTGACATCAAACAGACCCACATTCAAGTGCAGCCCCAGCACTCGGCAGCTCAGGAAGCCTGGTGGTGATTTAGGGTCACTGTGTCTCAGCTGTGTCCTATATAGAATGCAGAAAGCACACCCAATTTGTAGAGTCACTGTGAACAGGAGACAGTATCAATACTCTTGGCATACAGGAGAGAGAGAGAAAAAAGGAGCTGTGTGTGGGAGGGTATCGGGGGTAGTTAGTTAGTTATGATGATTCTGTTTCAATTAAAGACTCAAAGGCACTGGGCTATCACATAACAGGCCTGCCAGCCACTCTGATTATTTGAGTCACACACAGGTCAGGGAGAAAGCTCTTCTCCCTAAATGTTAGAGGGTGGCGCACTGAATACCCATTCTCTCTAGCCCAGTTATAGCAAGCTGGCAAAAGAACCATCACAGCCCTTGAGATTTCCCTACCAGTCCATCACTCTACTGCCCTAAATTGCCTGCCCTCAATCCATAGTCTCCTGCTGTGGAAATTACCAGGGCCCAAAACCATGGTCAATTTATTATGACATATACACAGTATATACAAAAAATCGTAGTGGCTTTCTCATTCCTGGTCAATTTTCCCAGTTACATAATAGCATCAATTTGCAGGCCTGGAAACTGATCCTGAAAGCTTGTCTCCCCCAATGATTAAACTACAGGAATGAAAATAACAGCTCCCAGACCATCCATCACATGGCTCCGGGCCCTGTATGGCTCCCATCCTGCAGATTGACACAAAACTGCCCAAGGGCATTTTCTAGGGGCAAGAGAACCCTGTGTTGTGGGGATGGGGGTGGGAGCGAGGGACGGTGGTGTCTGAGGTCCAAGGCCCTTGAGTCTAAGGCACAGGAGGCAAGCAGGCTCTTGTCATGAAAAAGGGCCACCTGGTGAAGGACATGAAGCTGACACAAGAAATGCTTTTCTGCCATTCATCTTTTCTGTTCCTAAGACAGGGTATCTAGCACAGTCTGTTGTACCTGAGGACTCAGGGGAAGCCAAAAGGAGAGGCAAGAAAAGCTAAGGTTCATAATGAGCTGAGAGAATGATGTACTCTCAAAACAATGTTTTTAACCTAAAATTTCAGTTCACTAGATTAGGATGCAAGGAGTAACAATCTGTATTTAAAAAAAAAAAAATTGAAAGGAGACTTGGATTTGATTTTTCCAGACCAGGAACCAAAAGCCCAGCACCATGACCACCTGTGGGAGGAAATCAGGGTCCCTGGACTTCTCCTTGTAGGGTCACATCAGAAGCCTGGTATCTCTGACAAGCTCACCACTGGCTGCACTGGCACTTCTGCCACCAGACTCTTGAGCAGCATTTCTGTTTGCCATCCCTGAAGCCCTTCCAGGAGAGCAGGGGTTTGTGTCGGGAAACCCATGTGTGTCTACAAGAGCAAGCTGATAACTGCGGTTCCTTCTGCAAGGTAGGTGGCTTACTTCCCTTGTCTAGTTTCTCCTCTTCCAATTTTTACACTGATCTTGTGTGGTCAGAGGACCTATGAGGACAGTCAGTCTCTTTTCTGCCCTGCTGGTTTCTTCTTCAGCAGCTGAACACAAGTTTGTGTCTGTCCCCCTGCAGGGCCACCAGGGAGAGTGAGGGTGCTGGGCCTGCCTGGCCGGAGAGCTCACAGTGAAAGCGGAAAGAGTACGCCCTACAGACAGGCCAGGGGTTCCATCAGCTGGAGCCAACAACCCCTCAATTCAGAGATGTTCCTGCAGAAGTGGTAAATGCTGAATATTTTCCCTGTCCATCTTCAATTTAAGTCCTGAATCTACTTACAGCAGACACTTGCTCCAAAGCTCTCTTAAACCATTTATTTATTTACTTAACAAAATATTTACATCATCTATTGCAATCATCTGGTCCTTTCACCTGGCCTGATGAATTGCAGCCTGGCTTGGTCTCTGCTGTTTTCCTGGAAACATGCCAAACACTCCCCTTGGTGTTCACCTGACGCTTGGTCTCCTTCAAAGACACTAAAAGGCTGGGAGACAGCTGCTCCCGTCTCTACTCTCCCGGCCCCCACCAAGTACCTGGGCCACAAGGGCATAATTTACAGAACTGGCCAAAATTAGAAACATGAAACACGAATAGAACATTGCCCAAGAAATAACACAACTTCCCTTCTGACATAGTGTACCTTTTGTTCACACTGGCTAGAACCAAAGCAGAATTGGGGGGAAAAAAAGTCAAAGGAAAGGCTGAAAAGAACAAAGACAGTTCGAACAGAGTTTGAGGGTGGAGAAGAACAGCATTTGAAGAACAGAAAGCCATACCAGTGCCAAAGGGCCTTGTGAAACAAAGATGCTGGGTTCACGGGATGGAGCTGCCCCAGAGGGGCTGCAGGGGTGCTGACGACGCTGCAAAGCAGTGCTATGACTAGATCTGCAGGTGACAGGCCCAGCCAAGAAAATCAACTCCATCTCCAGAAACAATTTCTGGAGAGCTGCTGGGAGGGAAAACACAGACTGCAAGAGAGAAATGATGGCCAAAACCAGCAGAGCCAGCCCATACGTGCCCCCTGCTCAGGACCATCCCGTCTGTGCCAGAAGGGCGGTGGCATGTTTCCCACGGTGAGGGTTAAACTTCTTTGTACAGATCTCCATGGGAAAGATTTGGGCAAGCAGCAGCACCTTGTCCGGGTCCCTGAGGAAAGCAGTGACTGTGTGGCATGGAGGATCCTGGGGTGTAGAGCCCTGATGCTAGATCCTGGACCCCAAGGACAACGAGTAAGGCCAGCACCCACGCTGGGAGAGGACGAATGAGAACTGCGCAGGAGTGAGGTCTGACAGGAACCATAGTGCTCTGAAGGGCTTCTTGCTCACACTTGCCAGGAAGAAGGGGGCTCAGACACGCTTCCAGGAGGCCGAGGCATTGCCACAGTCCTGCCCTGTCTCAGAACTCTGTGTTTGCTGGTTTTGGCAGTAGGAATGGCTTGGAATATTCTCAAAGTTGACATCCCACTGGGAATAGTAGCTTGCAGCAAAACCTTCTTGACAGAAATTAGGGAAAGTTGATGAGTTTTGAGTACTGACACTGTTCTTATTCAAATAGTAATGAGTAAGGATGTTGTCACCTTCAAAGAGACAGCAGCAGGTTCTCTCCAATCATCACACAACAGCGAACCTAACAATCCTCTCCCTCGTTGGTAAGGGATGGAGCCCAGCAGACATATGGAAGGGGTGAGCTTTTCACTATCTAATCCCCAGTGTTCCAACACGTGGGTGTTGTTCCTTGCCTCAGTGTTCCAGGCAGAGAACCCAGAACTGCTGGCATGTTATTCTTACTTTGTCAATCCTGTGCAGTAAGATCTCCTTCAGGAGAACCCTAAAGACACCCCAGCTCCCAGCAGGCTCAAAGTCAGCAGCCAGGCCCAGCCACACCTCTGTGCAAAGAACACATTCAGGAAAGAGTGGCCCTCCAGCCAGCAGTCTCCTCCCCAAGCCCTCTCCCTCAAAGCAAGAACCGCACTCGGCACTGCTGCAGTCCAGCTGTCCCTCACGTGCTTCTCTCCGGTTGCTTTTCTCACTGGCTCCAACTCAAGAAAAAGCTTAGAGTTCTTCTTCTTTATGGATTAATGATCATTTCCAGAAATGCCTGCAGGGAAAGTGCCTTTTCCAGTTCTTACACTACAAAAACAGATCAGTCTGTGCCATCTGTCCTCATTAGAACTGGTCTGGTGCCATAGCTACGCCTGCCATTGTGCAGGGGGTCTAACCCACAGACTGCTCATGTGGACCACTTTCCATCCTGGGCTTCTCCTGGATCCTGTCAAGAAGGGGCAACACTATCCCTGAGAAGGTCTCGTGTTCAGTCTGGTCAAGTCACAAGGGAGCTGGAGTGAGACGGAGACTTCAGGCTCTCTGCACACCAGCTTCCCCATATAGCTGAGTCCTGTGTGCCACATCTCACAGCTACTGAGGCAGCTCCAGCTACTGAGATCTTCAAAGGACCAAATGAAACAAGAGCAGCACGATCCTCTTTTCATGACTCACAGGAGCTCAGATTCCGTACCGGGCCACAGTGGCCTGGGGTGAGTTTGGGCAGGGAGGGGTGAGGTCAGAAGGAGGCTTGTGAATGACACACTCCTGCAGACACAGGGGAACAGGTGGCATCTCCTCGCCTAGAGTTGTGTTAGGGTCTACAGTCATGAAGTCTCTTAGCATGCACCAGTGGGAGCATGGGAGCTGAGTGGGAGGCAGCAGAGTGCTCAGAGCATGCCGAAGCCTTCGCAGCCCTCGCTGATGGCGAGCTGCAGCATCCTGTGTACCTCTTCATACGAGTCATATGTTGGGAGGCACAGCTGGTTAAAACTGGAAAGCCAAGGGGAGATGTGATTAACTCACATTACCAAGAACACAGGCCTGGCCTGAGAAGGGAACCAACCCCCCTCTGGGGCACACATCAGGCAGCCAGATACCTACCACGTGTGTGCAGTGGGGAGTGTGCTGTGGGTTGGAGCAGCAATGATCTGAAATGAAGGACAGAGGGCGGCAAAGCCTCCAGGTGGCAGCTGAGAGGAGCCTGTTGTGAATTGAAGTAGCCGGGCCAACTCCTCCTGGGTCAGACTGGACACCACAGTCCAAAACCACCTCATGACCTGGCAGGGAGAATTCAAGTGAAGAATCACACCTGATCCCAGGAGCCTAGGCTCTGAGCACCAGGAGAGAAACTGGACACCTTCAGTTACAGTTCTCTATAGACAGGGGAAGGAAGAGTTTGGACTGACACCGTGTCCATGCATTTACGAGGTCCTGACAGCAGTCACCAACTCCTTAGCTCTACTTTTGCACATTTCCAGCCTACTGCTCGCATGGCAGTCAGCGTACCAACCTGGAGAGACCAGGGCTCCCTTCTGCCAGGACAACCATGGGTCTTCCCTATAAGCACCATTTTTTCTTAGCCAACATGTCTATGTATTTATTTTCTTCTGAAGCTTCTTCCTTTTTATAACGGACTAAATCCACCTGAAAGAAGGGCTACTCACCTTTTCTCTGAAATGCCATGAGCCACCAACAACCACGGCATGGGCTTTGAAGTCAGACACGCTGATGTCTCCGGTCCCACACATCAGTAGCTGAAAAAAGAAGGTGAGGCATTCCTAGGACATCAGAGGGACAAAAGCCCACTGGAAAGTCAAAATCACCTATGTTAACATGAAAAAGGCAAAATATCTCCTTGGGAAAATCAACTGCAATAAATGATTCCAAACTAGTATGGAGAAAAAGATCACACAGCCTTGTAAAAACACACAAGTGCAGATGCATGTGGCCTAATCAATACCAGAGCTACTGGGTCAGAATCTCTAGGGACAGACCATGTACTTATGTAGTTTTGAAGAAATTCCCAGGGTTCTCTGATGGGCACCCCTAATTAAGATCTACTACTAAGGCTTCTTTTTTCAATGAAACAAAGGACCAGAAAGGAACCAAATGTTTTCTGGTAGTTTGCTCTGGACATAGCTTAAAAAACACCAGGGAGCAGAGGCCAACTCTGCCCTTTGATGAAGACCCCAGCTCACTGATGGATCTGTCAGACCAATCTCTGCTTTTCTCTGGGACCCTGCCTTCATTTGCAAATTGAAACTTTTACTACCTTCTCTAGCTCTGTCCCTACTTGATCAGATAAATTAAAGACTATGCCAAAACATGAGAACATTAATGACATCAGAGCCCTGAACATTTTGTTGATGTCCTAACTTGGTTCAGGATCCAGCATGTTACTCAGCAGACTCATCCAATAGTTATAAAGAATGATGCGTCCTAATCAAGAGACAAGAAAAGCCCAAAGTATGCCTCAGGAGTCTTGGCATCCTCAACAAGAACTCACTCAGTCGATGAGTAACCAAGAGCAGGATGTGGAACAACTGTCAGAGCCTATATCTCCAATCCCTTCCTTTCCACTTCCTTCTGCAACCTGGTGCAGGGGCTCTGCTCCAGGCAGACACATTCAGCCAATAGCAATTCCTCAAGCCCAGAGACAACAGCCAGTTGTCACACCTATCAGAAGCTGCATAGGGTCTGCAAATCAGAGCTCAATAAAAAAGCTGAACTGAGATGTGGAGAATTCATTTCACTCAGGTTTCATACTTGAAGGAATGGAACAGGACAAAAATTGTACAAGACTTTGATTCTTGTTCCTGAAGTAAGTTCAGTTACTAAGAATTGTGCATGATCATGTTAAACTACTTTCCCCCATTAAAAAAAAATTCCCTCTTTACAACTTACAAAATTACATTTTTCACAAAAGCCAAGAGAACTTAAAACTAGCCTGGGGCCCAGCGCCGTGGCGCAAGAGATTGAGGTCCTCGCCTTGCATGCCCGGGATCCCATGTGGGCGCCGGTTCTAATCCTGGCAGCCCTGCTTCCCATCCAGCTCCCTGCTTGTGGCCTGGGAAAGCGGTCGAGGACAGCCCAAAGCTTTGGGACCCTGCACCCGCATGGGGGACCTGGAAGAGGCTCCTGGCTTCGGATCGGCATAGTATCGGCCGTTGCGCTCACTTGGGGAGTGAATCATCGGATGGAGGATCTTCCTCTCTGTCTCTCCTCTCTGTATATCCAATGAAAAAATAATAATAAAAAAATAAATCTTAAAAAAAAAAAAAACTAGCATCCTGCACCATTTGTGCAGCATGTAAAAGCAAACTGGTACTTTTTTTGCCCACATCTTATGTGGACTCCAGTTCTGCTAATTACAGAATAGTATTCACCATCCTTAGTTGTTCCAGGATCTGAAATAAGTATATATTTGCTACCAATATGCAATATGTGTGTGTGTCTGCATATTCACATACAGAGTACTGTGATCTAAAACTTCGCAGTACGGTTGCATTTTTTAATTTGTCTCCTCACTAGCCGCAGGAGGGCTAAAACAGTCTTATTTCTGCTACCTCCTCACTGCCAGGACACTCACAACACAAAGGAGGCATTCAATAGGTACCTGAACAAATACTTCCTTAATATCTTAGGATCCCAGGAAGGCTGTACATGATGTTAACAGTCTTCAGAGCGCAACTAAATCCATACTATTCAATGAATAAGTGAGTATTATTTATCTTCATAAATAATTAGCTATCTGCTACTCAAGAATTTTCACATTCTAGTTTTTCAAAAGCTGAAGAAAGGGTCAACAAATATGAAAGAGTGACAAAAGTGAAACTGGTTTGGGAATGGGAGCAGTGCACTAAAACACAGTGCCAACAACAGGGCTCTGCACATACCTCCAGCTCATTCTCATCAAAAATAGCCAACAGGTTTTCAGGGACCAACTCATTCAGGCCTGAAACAAAGCAGCCAGTTAAAGCCATGCTCCTAACAGAATTATAGGTAGTCTGACCTCACAGATAAGAGTAGATACGGTCTCACCTTTTAGGAAATGCTCCACTTCCTCTTTCACTTGACTGGCCAGCCTATACTGGGCCAGCAAATTTAAATAGAAGATTTTATTTGCATTAGTGACTGGTGTTTGAGCTCCACCTGCCATGAGTTCTACCACCTGAAACAGGCACAAACACAAGCAGGGGTTATGGATACAAATTTCTAAGATGATAACTTTCTAGGATGTTCCACAAACACAAGCATTAGTAATTTTTGTGTCTACTAAAAGTTCCTGATGGGGATTCATCTGTTTGACACAGTTTGGCTTATTTTGCTACTATACTTTTGGGTTCGTACCAAGATTGCTGTATTTTACTAGCTTTGACTTGTTTGGTTTTACGTATAATTATCTATTTATTTATTTGAAAACCAGAGTTCTTTCATCTGCTGGTTCACTCCCCAAATGGCAGCAATTGCTGGGACTGGGCCAGACTAAAGCCAGGAGCCAGGAACTCCATATGGGTCTCCTACATGGATCTCAAGTGGTGGGCCAGATTAAAGCCAGGACACTAGAACTCCATTAAAGTCTCACATGACCTCATGGTCATCTTCCAGCCCCTTCCCAGGAAGCTGGGTCAAAAGTGGAGCAGCCAGGACTTAAAATGGGGCTCATTTAGAATGTCGGGATCACAGGTGGCAACTCTTCACATGCTGCACCTCAACTTCAGCCCTGACTTGCTCCTATTTCTGAAGTGGAGATCTATGTGTGGTCTTCTCTGACCTAGCCAAGTAGTGGGAATGAAACAGGAAGATACTTTAATCTACAATTCAGACCTCTACTGATCTCTTCTCTGAGACAACTGAGAATAAAAGCCACATAAAAGATGTCTTTTTATGCCTCAGGAATTCCAAGACTAGCAAGTTGTTTCTGAACATTCTTCTACCTCTAAAGTGAGTCATTGGAAAGGAGCCAAGACCTGAAACTTGTAGATCAATTGCATTCCCAGCCCTGATGCTAACTTCTTCTATATCATCAGTCACTTAGTCATTTGGACCCCTCATTTTCTGCTCTGCAGAGAAAAAACTGAAAAGCTATATAAACTCTCAGAATTAGCATCTTCCAGAGACAGTTCCTAAGAGAATTCTGAGGAAGCCCTGAAGTACAGTTTAAAACCACCACCCTGTGGTCCACAAAGACATACATACTTCCCTACTATGTAAAAAATAAAATAAATTTATTCCAAAATAAAATAAATATAAATATAAAAAAATAAAAATTTTTATATAAAAATAAAATCATTTATTCCAAAAAATACATGCACGTGTGACCAAGGCTGTCTCCATAGGTGAATGAAGGTCTCCTTCAAATTACAAACTCACATTTTAAAATCCTGAAAACACAACAGGAACAACGTGTTCCTCCACAGCAGGGCTTCTCAATGGATTCAGAATGCAACTTTCCTTCTACACCTATGCTGAACTCTGCCTATGTATCTCATGTACCCATTTCTATCTAGTAGTCCAGGAGGTCAACCCACATTGAGTATCCATATTGAAGCCAATGAAAGTGAGCATTCCTCTGGACCAGTGTTCTGCTGGCATGAGCTGTCCTGCTGTGCTGCAGCAGGAAGCAGGCTCTGGTTCCATGTGCACAAAGGCCAACACTAGGATCCCCACTGTTGTCCAAGCAATATCTCATGATAGCCCTTGTGGCACTAGTGGTCACATTTTTTTTACATTGCTTTTTATGGTATATTCATGTATTCTTGCAAATCTACCTCATCATTATAGTTTGTTATTGTCTATCCCATAAGTTAAGCAGAAGCACATCTGCCCCAGAAAAACCTGCATGCAGGTTTAATTTACATAGGCACTATACCAAAACAGGAAGCTTCTGCACCACCAATGTGATGCTTCTAAGTCTTGCCTGTGCAGTGATGCTTCATTATGGCTCAGTTCTTTTCTCACTGGAAAGCAGGAATGGCAGGACAGATGGGCATGTGTTTTCTGTTCCCACTCAGGTTATCAAAGACTGGAATATGAGATGCTAAAATTGCACTGTCCAGCATGTATGGCAACCACTAGACAAGTACAGTTATCAAATTAATTTAAAAAGGGACAGACATTTGGTACAGAGATTAAGTCACAGCTGGGGACATCCACATCCCATATCATAAGAAGAGTATTTGAGTCAGCCTCCCGCTCCACTTGTAATCTAACTTCTCTGCTGACAAACATCCCAGCAGGCAGGAGGTGATGGCTTAAGCACTTGGGCCCCATGAGGGAGACCCAGATTGAGTTCCTGGCTCTTGCCTTCAGCCTGGACCAGCCCCTGGCTCTTTTAGGTATTTGAGAAGTGAACATATAGAAGACTGACCTCTCTCTTTGCCTTTTCTAATAAATAAACATATGAAAAACAAGATAAAATAAGTAAAATAGGATAAGTTGTAAATTCAGTTATTTTGTCACATTAGCCAACTTTGGGTATTAATTGCCACGACAGGTGGGCCACATTTCTATCACTTCCCTGGAGGGGCCTGGGGAACGCAGGGCTCACAGGCTTCGCTCTCCTCTCACCTTTTCCAACTGGCCTGACTTGTTATACTTCTCTTCCGCGAAGACCAGCTCCATCTCACTCATATCATTGTTGAGGATAAAACAGACTTTGGATTTGTAGAATTCTGGGTCATCTGTTTCAAAGTACTGAGAGGACAGAAACACAGAGAACATGAATACTCGTGCCCAGAAATGGAACTTGTTAACACTTATCTTTTGACCTTCACAGTAATTAGCTCAAGTGAAGAGATTATAAATAATCAGGGAGCCTCAGCAGGAAACACACGTCCAGGATGTTACCTTGTAATGCATACGCAGTCCTATGATTTGGGCCAGGAAGGATCTAGTGAAGCGGGCTCGGACCAACTGCTTGTAGGCTCCTCCGAGAGAGGACTCATAGAGACACTTGCCAACCAGTCGCCCTGCAAACTCATACATCTTTAGGCGCAGATGAGCAGGGCGGTTAGGGTTGGGATGCACCTGTCAAAGAGACCATTTGAAAGGCTGTGGGCCATTTATCTTCAAGCCTAGTTCTGGAAAGATCCTTCATCCTTCATTCTATGCCAAGGGAACAAAAATTTCAATGTATAGGACCACAAAGTCCATCCAAATGACAAAGTTCTTTATAGGTAGCCACCACTGAATACTTCAAAGGGACCAAAGGATAAAGAATAAAAATAGGGACCAGCATCATGGCCTGCTAAGTCTCTGCCTGCAATGCTGGCATCTTATAAGAGTACCAGTTCAAGTCCCGTCTGCTCTACTTCCAACTCAGCTCCCTGCTAATGTGCTTGGAAATGCAGTGCAGGACTGTCCAAATCCTTGGGCCCCTACACCCACATGTGAGACCTGAAACAAACTTTTGTCTCCTGGCTTTGGACCAGTCCAGCTTCAACCACTGCAGCTATTTGGAAAGTGAATAAGCAGACAGAAGATCTGTCTCTCCTTCTCTGTCTGTAAATCTGCCTTTCAAATAAATAAATCAAAGAGAGAGAGAAAGAGGGAAAGGGGAAGGAAGATAGACAGACAGGCTGACTGACTGACTCAGAAGTTGAAGAAATCTTGTATTAAGCTTGTGGTTGTCAGCCGAGTATAGATGTGATGCCTTTTCCGTGAACTAGAATGTCTTTTTTTTTTTTTAATTACACATTCATTTATTTTTAGTGGAAAGGCAAATACACATAGAAGAGGAGAGACAGAGAGGAAAGTCTTCCATCCAATGGTTCACTCCCCAAGTGGCTGCAATAGCTGGAGCTGAGCCAATCCGAAGTCAGGAGCCAGGAGCTCTTCCAGGTCTCCCACGTGGGTGCAGGATCCCAAGGCTTTGGGCCATCTTTGATTGCTTTCCCAGGCCACAAGCAGGTAGCTGGATGAGAAGCGGAACTGCTGGGATTAGGACCGGCACCCATATGGGATCTCGGCGCGTTCAAGGAAAGCACTTTAACCACTACACTACTGCGCTGGGCCCTAGAATGTCTTTCAGATAAAGTCTATCTTTCCACTCCTAACACTCCTACCTCGTCAAGGATCTAATGCAGATGCCAGTCACTTCAGGCATGTCTTGAGGAAGTAGCTTAATTATTACAATAAAAATTAATTGCACTAATACTTTCTAGTCAAACATTCACCTGTCTGCATTTTCTCTTATTTTAGAGAAATAGTGATTCTAAGCAGGAGGGATGTGATTTGAATGGTCCACACTGGAAAAGACTTGAGGGTTGTCAAGACTCCCAGGGAAGTTTCCAAACTTCAAACCCTTGTTGGTATATGCATTATAACATAACCCTCAATTTCCACCTCTCTCCACCACCCCCCTCCACACATGGGGCAGTCACAAACTCACTAATGCTTGGTTGTTGTCACTGAATCGGGTGAAGAGCTGACTGGTGGTATCAAACAAGGCTTTGCAGATCAGTTCAAACCATTCCCGGCGAGGTCCGCCCCAGTCCAGAGCTGAAAAGTATAATGACAATGAAAAGGGACTCTTACCACTTTTCTTCTGTTAGTCATCATCCACTATTGCCTTCATTCAATCCATTCCACCGCTTTTATTTCATCATTGCCAACTCAATTAAATGACGTACACTTTTGGAAATCCCAACCCTCTCCGTAGGATTAGAGATTCTGATCACTAAACCAATGTTCCAAGTTTAGAACCACAGAAAACCAGAAATGCAAGGATATCAAAATTTTTTTTGGTTCTGCAAAGGTCCCTTCTGGGACAAACCTTAATTGCTCTCCTGTCCAGCCTGTGTTTAACCAGCTCCACCAGGCTGTGTAGCTGCTAAACACTGCCTTATGTTTTTCTTGATGCATGATCTCTTTCTCCCTTGGGAAAAACAAGATTTTTAAAGAGGATGGTGGGGGGAGGGGTGGTTGCTTTTTGTGTGTGTGGAGAGACAGGGAGATAGGAATAGGGACCAGAGTTTAATAAGAAAACTATGAAATTACAAACTGACCTTCTTCATCCTGGAAAACCACTTCAAAGTTCTTGCTCCAGTCTGAGATGGAGAAGTTTCTAGTGGCTTTCAGAGACTAAGAGTAGTGAAAAAAAAATGAACCATCAGAACACTGGCGTTCCTTGAGTGCTACACACAAAACCAGGACAGCATTGCCACTGTCTGCTGAGCAAGCCAATACTACTTAGAGAAGACATATTCCTCAACAGTCAATGTAACACCATCTTGTGCTTAAACTTGCACATACCAAGAGGCTGATGCTATGGTACAGCAAGATGAGCTGCCACCTGCAGCACTGGTATCCTGTATGTGTAAGCATTTGAGTCCCAGACATTTCACTTTTGAACCAGCTCGTTGCTAATGTATGTGGAAAGCAGAAACAGTCAAAGTGCTAGGGCCCCTGCCACTCAGGTGAGAGACCCACATGGAGTGTTAGGTTCTTGGCTTTGGCCTGGTCCAGTCCCAACGGCTGCAGCCATTTGAGGAATGAACCAGTGGATGGAAAATCTCTTTTCTCTAACACTGGCTTTCAAAAAAAATAAGGATATCTTAAAAAGTAAAATAAAATGTACACATCCCAAGAAGAAATGTAGAGCTTCAAGAAATTATCTTTATATCATCACTTTGTTATAAAGTTGAAATTGGTAATTTTTTTTTTCAGTTTTTTATTTACTTGAAAGGGAGACAGGGATTTCTCATCTGCCAGTTCACTTCTCAAATGTTTGTATTAGCCAAAGATGGGCCAGGCCAAAGCCAGTTTCCTGAAATTCGATTTAGCTCCTCTACTTCGGTGGCAGGGATCCAACCAGTGGAGTCCTCACCTACTGCCTTCCAGGGTGGTCACTGACAAGAAGCTAGAACTGGGAGAAGAGGCAGGCCATGAACCCAGGCACTATGAAGTTAAGATGTGGGTGAGCCCAGTGCGGTAACCTAGCAGCTAAGGTCCTCATCTTGCACATGCTGGGATCCCATATGTGTAATGGTTCTAATCCCTGCAGCCCCGCTTCCCTTCCAGCTCCCTGCTTGTGGCTTGGGAAAGCAGTTGAGAAAAACCCTAGGCCTTGGGACCCTGCACCCACACAGGAGACCCAGAGGTTCCATGTTCCTGGCTTCAGACCAACTCAGCTCTGGCCATTGTGGCTACCTGGGGAGTGAATCAACGGATGAAGATCTTCTTCTCTGTCTCCCCTCCTCTCTGTATATCTGACTTTTCAATAAAAACAATAATAAATCTTAAAAAAGAAATAAAGAAAGGAAGAAAGAAAGATGTGGGTAACCCAAGCAACACCTTAACCAAACGTCCACTCTTATTTTTCTTTAAGCAGTTCTCATTAGTAAGAAACTCTTGTACAAAAAGTTTAAAAAATAAACAAATAAAAAGACTCGGGTCTGGCATGGTGGCCTAGTGGCTAAAGTCCTCGCCTTGAACAAGCCAGGATCCCATGTGGGCGCCAGTTCTAATCCCGGCAGCTCTACTTCCCCTCCAGCTCCCTGCTTGTGTCCGGGGAAAGCAGTCAAGGATGGCCCAAGGCCTTGGAACCCTACACCTACGTGGGAGACCTGGAAGAGCTCCTAGCTCCTAGCTTCAGATCGGCACAGGACCAGCCATTGCGGCCACTTGGGGAGTGAATCATTGGGCGGAAGATCTTCTCTGTCTCTCCTCCTATCTGTATAATCTGTCTTTCCACTAAAAATAAATAAACCAAAAAAAAAAAAAAAAAGGACTCTACTCAGTAAGCTATAAGCGTAAGAACCAAAGAGATCCAATTTTCTTTTTTTTTTAAAAAAGATTTTTGTTGGGCTCGGTACAAGAACCTAGTGACTAAAGTCCTTGCCTCGCACACACTGGGATCCCATATGGGCGCCAGTTTGTATCCCAGCAGCCCTGCTTCCCTTCTAGCTCCTTGCCTGTGGCCTGGAAAAGCAGAGGAGTACAGCCCAAATCCTTGGAACCCTGCACCCACGTGGGAGACCCAGAAAAAGCTCCTGGCTTCGGATCAGTGTAGCACCAGTTGTTGTGGCCACTTTGGGAATGAACCAGCAGATGGAAAATCTTTCTCTTTGTCCCTCCTTCTATCTGTATATGTCTTTCCAATAAAAATAAAAATAAAAAATAAAGATTTTTGTTTATTCGAAGTGCAGAGTTAAAGACAGAAAGATACAAATACATACATTCACACAAACAGAAATTTTCCATCTGCTGGTTCTCTACCCAAATGGTTATAACAGCCAGGGCTGGGCCAGGCTGAAACCAGCAGCCAAGAGCTGCTTCCAGAGCTAACCCAGGGGTACAAGGGCCCAAGCACTTGGATCATCTGCTGCTGTTTTCCCAGGACCATCTGCAGGGAACTAGATGGAAAATAGAACAGCAGGTCTTGAATCAGTGCCAATATGGGATGCAGGCCTCACAGGTGGAGGCTAAATCCCTATGCCTCAATGCCAGCCCTGGGAGTCTCAGTTTTCAAAGAGCCACCAGACGCCTTTATCCAGACAGGATTCAGACAAGCAGCCATGCCACACAAAGTGTGGCTGAGAGAGAGGATTTTCAGTCACACCTATAAGAGCCAAACATCATAAACATTTTTTGGACAAGGAACCAAGCCAAGCCTTCTCATGCTTGGAGAATAACAGGTGACCACCCCCGGAACTATGCAGTGGAGACACACAAGTGTCAGGTGTTTCCTTTTCCATCACACCCAAGAAACTAAAAAATCCACTTCCTTTACCTTTAACAAGAGATCTTCTATTCCAGGGACAGAACAGCAAGAGCTTTCTCTTGGAACCATAACTTGCACCTCCCTACACTGGAATTCCAGGAGAACATCCTGGAACAAGTTCAACGCAAACTGGCAAGCCAACATGTCAGCTAGTCATCCCCAAGTTACACACCTAAAACATCTCTCCCCAATCATGCACAGAAATGAACTGCTATTTACAGGCATATGTAAAGAGAGAGGCTTGGGTTAGATAAGAAAAACTGCAAAATGGAACCAAAGACTAAAGTTTTTAGCTGGCTGCCAGGCAGGAGACTTTACTCACCGACTCCAACAAGGCATGTCTGCTGACCTTCAGGGTGACTCTGGAATGTGGCCTTTTCAGGTGGACTTGTCGAAGCTCTCGCTGGAAGAAGTTCACCTTGTCCTGAAACGTCTCAGAGCCTCCTGAGGAGCAGCACGATATGTCACTGTCACCACCTCTCTTCCAGGTCCCCAGGGGAACTGAGCTGGCAGCTTTGCTTCCCAGCATCCCAGCCCAACATGCAACCTTACCTATGTTTTTGTGGAGGGAGCGGATGAAAGTGGCTGCCAGGATGTTTCTCTCCTTACAGCTGAGCTCCACAGGGGGCTGGATGCCATCATCTACCACCAGTGTGAGGAGCTTATGAACAGGGTCAGGGCCAAGGTATGAAAACTAGCAATAAAGGAAAAAGCCTATCAATCCTAGCAGAAGACTCTCCATCAGTCAACAGAATGAGTCAAGCTTTGTCCTCCAAGCACTGGGAATACATCTCGTTTTACACCCAGGGCTCTGTAATCCAAATTTTATGTCAAAATATTTGAGTTGCAGGGATTGCACTTAGAAATGATCACAGGCAACACTATGGATTCCAAAACATGAGATGAGGGAAGGTAAGAAAACACAAAATATCGGGAAGTACCCGCCCCAGTGAGAGAACGCTACTTTAAAAAGTTAGTATCAGTACACTAGCAGACCAGGCTGGGACCCAAGATAGCAGCACCTTCTCTGTGAACCCAGTCTTGCAGACAAAGATAACTGCTGAAGTATTGAGTTGCTATTAATTTCCATCTCTGCAGGCACACACCCTTCCAAAATTCATACATCTTTCATCCCATTCAATGATAAGATAATGGCCTATTATTTAACAATGAATCCTGTGTCTGCAGTGAGAACTTCCAGAACCACCTAAAGCCCTCCGGGAAAAAGAAAAGGCAGAACACTGCAGAGCGGAAGCCTACAGAACCCAAACTAGAACTTCCAGCCAACTCACCTTTGTTCCTGGGCACACTCGGAAGGTGTAGAGGCGCCAGGGAATGATTTTCAGGTAGAACTCCTTTACTGAGAATTGCTGGAGAGTCAACACACAGAAAACCGAGTGAATGATAAACAGAAAACTTTTCTTTAGGTACTGTAACTAAAGAGCAGATTCTCTTCATCTCTTAGTTCAAACAGCTTCCTCCATAGACAAAAAGGATAACGCAGTTAGTACCTAATATCAAATTACTACATCAACTATATCTTTAGAGAGGCAAGGCAATCCCGTCCAGAGATCATTTATAATCTTAACACTCAATACAATTTCTAAATATCTGAGATCAGGCCTTCTTGTGAAAACATTCCATTTGGATATAATTAAAATTTCTTCCTGCCTGGCCCAGCATTGCTCAGAACTACTTCCTCCAAGCCAATGGCCAGGGAAAACCTGCAGCCCAGGGTTTTATCCAGATGTGAATGACACCAAGGAGTTTTGAAGGTAGGAAGACATGGGGGCTGAAAGGGCTGAAATCAAGTGCAATGGGACCAGGACTTACAGAAAAATAGCTCCAGTAAGAATATACAAAGGTCTTCTTATGCCATTTGCAAAGAAAAAACAACACAATAAAATTTTAATCTACAAAGAAACCTGTTCTCTGAATGTGTATCATGTGAGGTATTTTGTGTGTGTGTGTATGTGTGTTCAGTTTAAAAAATTGTTTCATCAGGCCTGGTGCAGTGGCCTAGCGGCTGGGATCCTTGCCTTGAGTGCACTGGGATCCCATATGGGCACTGGTTCTGGCCCCTGTGGCACCGTCTCCCATCCAGCTCCCTGCTTCAGCCTGTGAGGGCAGTGGGGGACGGTTCAGGGCCTTGGGACCATGTACCCACATGGGAGACCCAGGGGAAGCACCTGGCTCCTGGTAGGCTCAGCTCTAGCCATTGTGGACACTTGGGGTAAGTCACTGGACAAGGGTCTCTTCTCCTGCTCTGTACATATGACTTTGCAATAGAAATAAATAGATCTTTTAAAAAAAACTGTTTCATCAAAGAAAATCCCAACACATATGATACATGAGACAGAAGAGGGAACAGAGTAACAAACCCATCACCAACTTGAATAGTGATCAACCCAGAGCCCATCTTGTGTCATTTATTCACTCTCAATGCCAGCCCAAATTAACAGATTTTAAAATAAAAAATGGTGTAAAACACAGTGTTCTGAAATTTAATAGAACTTGAACTCAGTTCTGGTTATGAGATTGAAAGGCTATAAGAAGGTGTTTCGAAACACTCATTTTTATGAGGGATGAATGAACAACAACAAAAAAAAATACAAATATCCAAATGAAACTGTTTAAAACAAAGCACCTCTAAGCTCAGGGGCTTGGGAAGTTCACCTTCTTGCCTCTGCCAACATTTCTGTGTTACTATCTTGTAGCCTGACAAACGACCTCTATTTATTGTGGTTTTCACAGATCACAGAATGAAAGATCAAATTGTTTCTACACAGCACAAACAGCCAAGAGTGATTTTTATACTAGGGAGAAATTTCTAATGGCTCAAGTAGCATTTTGTTTTGTTTTTTAAATAATACTGAGAGCCAATGCTCTTCCCAGAAGCAATCAAAGGTGCCTGAAGTACCAGAACCCATGAATCTCAAGACAGAGTTAGTTTAGTCCAAACCAAGCATCTACAGCAGCAGGGGTGGCCCAATCTGAACTTGACTTTAACAAGCCTTTGTTTCCCAGAGATCTTATGAGTCAGCGGTTTTGCCCTACCGATCCTCAGACCGTCATGCTTTGGTTCCTACCACCCAGGATCAACCACATGCAGGCTCAGGCAGGAGGGGTTTATAGCAGAATGGGGGTTCCAACCTTTGGTGACACATAGCAGTACACCTTCTTCGGTTTCTTCACCTTCTCAGGGGTGTGGCACTCAGAGGGTGAGTCTTCATCTTCCTCCTCAATGGCGGTGGAAGGCCGGCGCTGGGAAGAGCTCATGTGCATGGGTGGTAGGTGCCATGGTGCGCTGGTGCAGTTGGCTGCATTGTACAGATATGCTTCAAAGTAGATGCTCACGCCTGAAGTGGACACGTTGCGTTCAACAATGTTCTTCTCATTCTCTGAAGCACAATGAGAAGTAAACAAGGGTTCAGGTGGGAATCAAGGAGAAAATGACCTAAATACTAGACCTATGCTTAGTCCACAAGATATGAAGCTAACTGTGTTTCAAACATCACATGCCTGGGAGACCAGTCACAAGACCGCAGACATGCAAAGAAGTGGTCAAACAATAGGACTAAATCACTCCATTTCTTTCATCTCACCACTTAGGACGATAATGTCAAATTCGCCATTATTGATTGGTTGATTTTGGTATGAAATACAGGCATGGAAGCAGCCACGAGAATGTAGGGTGAGTCGCAAGAACACCTGGCAAGTCTGTCTGTTGGATGTCACTGACTTCTCAAACAAGACATCAGTACTCTCTTCTTCTTGAGGGCCAAGCTAGAGGAAGCACAGAAGGCAGTACTTTAGATATATCATTTCCCATATCTAAAAAACACAAAAGCTTACCCACCTAGGATTTGATCTAAGTCTCACAAATATTTAAAAGGTAGGCAATGTCAAAGGAAGACATGATGCCACAAAAGTCATAGAGAAGGAACAAGAGGTCGAAGTGAAGAGAAGGCCTGAGAACTACAGAGAACAGAGCCTGGTCTCCCAAAACACAGAGAAGGACGGAGTGTCACTCACCTCATGAATGGACAGACTGTAATTGTGCTCATCTCTCAAGCATGTGGAATTGTTGGTCGGGTTATCATACTCATCTCGGGGCACTATCTGAAGGGTGTGTGGCTCCCCACAGGTCAATACAAGAGTAGAAAAATGGCACACAATTTTGGTCTTGGAAGGAACCACCATTCCTGGAACAAATACACTGGAATTCAACATTTACTGAGGTACTCTTTAGGACAAAAATTTTTCTCAAGGAGTCTACAGAGTTGTATAGCCTCCCAAGTCCCTGGGAATTTAATGATACTACAGAGGGAAATACAAAGAAAGCAGACATTAATTCGAATGAATTCTGGGAACTTGTTTCTACAAATTCATAGCGAAAACAAGTACTAACAAAAATAGGAAACCTAGGTGAAACAGAACTGAAAGTGAGAGTGCATCCAGTCTTCACTGGGAACCTAGGAGTAAAGCGGGCCTTAAAAAAAAATTGCTGGAAAAAGAAAACCACACACACATACAAACTCCACTTGCCAAAATAAGCCTACAAAGTATTCAAGGTGCAAATCTAACAAAACTCCAACAAGACTTAATCTGTCGAAAATTACAAAATGCTGCTCAAACAAACAAACAAACAAAAAAAAACTAACAGATGAATCATGTTTATTAATAGGATTATCTAACACAATGAAGATGTCAATTCTCTCTCTTTTTTTAAGATTTATATATATTGGGCCTGGTGCAATGGCTAAAGTCCTTGCCTTGAAGCGCTGGGATCCCATATGGACACCAGTTCTAATCCCGGCAGCCCCACTTCCCATCCAGCTCCCTGCTGTGTCCTGGGAAAACAGTGAAGGAAGGTCCAAGCCCTTGGAATTTGCATCCATGTGAAAGAACCATAAGAGGTTCCTGGCTTCAGATCGGCTCAGTTCTGGCTGATGTGGCCATTAGGGGAGTGAACAAGCAACAGAAGATAGAACTTTCTGTCTTTCCACTCTCTCAAAATCTACCTCTCCAATAAAAATACATCTTTAAAAAATATATCAACTGCAAATATGTGATGACCTTACATCTAAAATTATAAAACTTTTTTTTAGAAAAAAAAGAGAAAATAATCAGGATCTGGGACCAGAGTTTTAAGATGCTAAAAATATGACCATAAAATAAAAACTGGATAAACTGCACTTCCCTCAAAGCCAAAAACTTTCACTCTGTGAAAGCCTGTTATGAAGATGAAAAAGTTAAGCTACTGACTGGAAGAAAATATTTCCAAGCTGCATATCTGAGGAAACACTGGTATGAAGAATCTATAAAAATCTCAAAGCTCAATTGCTTGAGCAGGACCTTCGCAGTGGACCTGGGATGGGTGGGAGGCTGGGTGGGGCTTCTCCGTTTGTTTGTCCCCTGACCCCAGATACAGGGGAAAAAAGTGATGTATTAGTGTGGCAACAATGTTATTACCCACTTTTCTATAGCCTTTGACCCCTTTGTACCCTAATCAACAAAGTAAGATTATTAAAAAAAAAAAAACTCTGTTACGAAGATTAAAAAGTTAAGCTACTGACTGGAAGAAGATTCCCAACACTGGCAGGAAGAATCTATAAAGAATTCTCAATGTTCAACAACAACAAAAAATGTAAATCAGAAAATGGGCAAAAGAAAAAGAGACAATTCCACAAAGAGGACACACAGATGGCAAGCACATGAAAAGATGTTTAATGTCATTAACCTTTGGGAAAATGCAAATAAAAACTATAATGAGATGCCATTACACACTGCTCAGAATGACTGAAACAAAAAACCATGACTACATTAAATGCTGGCAAGCATGTGAAGAAACTAGACTGTTCACACATTGCTGGCAGATATGTAAAATGTTACAGAAGCTCTGGGAAAAAGTTTGGTAATTTCACTAAAAAATAAAAAACAACTAGGCATGCAACTTCCGTTCATCTCAGGAGCTGTAACTTGGGCATTTGTATAAGAAAAATGAAAACATGTTCACACAAACCCATACATGAATGTTTATAGCAGCTTTATTCATACTAATCAAAAACTGTTAACAATTCAGGTGTTCTTCAGTGGGTGTACAGCTGACATACTCTGTGATCCATCTATGCTGTGGAATACTACTGAGCAATAAAAAGGCAACAACTACCGATAAACTCAGCAAGCCCCACATAGAGGACCCTGGGATGGGTGGGAGACTGGGTGGGGCTTCTCCCTTTATCTTCTACCTTACCCCAGATATAGGGAAGGGGGGGTGGGAAGAGAGGATGTAGAGACAATGGTCTTACCCACTTTCTTATAGCCCTTGACCTTTTGTGCCCTAATCAACCATGTAAAGATTATCAAAATAATAATTAAAAACATTTTCCCCAGGCTAATGACTCAGCATTTCTATTCCAAGAAAATAAAAGCATGTGTCCACAGAAATTTGTACACCAATGATCACAGCAGTATTACTTATTTTAGCCATAAAAGCAACTGACATGTCTCTCAACTAATAAAGAATAAATAAAAGGGGTCTGTCAATTTTTTAAAAATAGTAAGTATTTTAAAAGGGGATAGTCTACACACACAATGGACCATCTGGCAATAAAAAGGAAGCACTAATTCATGGCACAATGCAAAAGGGAACTTGAAAAGCATTATATGGAATGGGCCAGGCATGATGGCCTAGTGCCTAAATCCTTGCCTTGAACATTCCAGAATCCCATATGGGTACTGGTTTGTCCCAGCTGTCCCACTTCTCATCCAGCTCCCTGCTTGTGGCCTGGGAAAGCAGTTGAGGATGGCCCAAAGCTTTGGGACCCTGCACCCATGTGGGAGACCAGGAAGAAGATCCTGGATCCTGGTTTTAGATCGGCTCAGCTCCAGCTTTTGTGGCTACTTGGGGAGCGAACAAGCAGATGGAAGATTTTTCTCTCTGTCCCTCCTCCTATAAATGTTTTTCCAATTAAAAAAAAAATCTTTAAAAAAATTACATGGAATAAATCAAGCCAGCCATAAAAAGCTATGTATTTGATTGCACTGATATGGAACATCCAGGGGCAGTTAGGTCACAGAGGGAAAAAAAAAAGGAGGGGGGGCGGATTTTCCAGACCAGGAGATTTGGGGGTAAAGTTACTGTTAATGAATCATGGGCTTAGAAGTGATGAAAATACTCTAAAATTGACTGGTGGTAACTGGCTAACTACAAATTTTAAAAAACAATAAACCATATTTTAAAGTGAATAAATTGAATGGCACATGAATTAAATTACAATAAAAGTAACATTTAAAGAAAGAAGGTGTAGCATAGCACAGTAAGCTGCCACCTACAATCCTGACATCACCTATGGACACCAGTTTGAGTCCGAGCTGCTCCACTGTCCCTTGGATAACAGCACAAAGTACCTTGCACACATGTGGAAGAGCTGAATGAAGTGTCTGGCTTCTGGCTTCAACCCGGCCCAGCTCTAGCCATGGTGATCATTTGGGGAGTGAGCCAGCAGCAGATGGAAGACCACTCTGCCAGCAATCCTACCTTTTAAATAAAATAAATATTTTTAAAAATAAAGAGAAAGAAAGGAGAGGGGATGGAAGTAGTAAGGTAAAAGAAAGCAAAGAACAAGGAAAAAGAACAAAGAACCTACCAGGTTGAAAAATTTTGTAGTAGGGACTGTAGGCTACATTTAATCCACCCAGCTTCACGGTGATCTCATAGCGCCCTGCCCTGCGCACGGTGAAGGCCACCTTGACCACATTGGAGTTGGGCTCCTGAAGGACTTCCTGGGTGACTGGAATTTCCACTGCTAGCTCCACATGAGAGATGTGAACTCTCAGACCCACAGGCCGATGTGCAGGGAAAGGCTGCCCGTTCTTATAGAACAGCTGCAGGAGAGAGAGAAGACGGACACCTATTAGTGGGCTGGAGTAGAGAAACCAATTTCCGTTTCAGTAGATGTGGGGGTGGGGTGGGTGGGGAAGGAGGTAGCTTGTAGAAGTCACACCGAGAAATCCCAGCACCTACCTACTCCTACAGTCCTACTTAGAAACTCAAAAGAGAAACCAATGATTTCCAAACCCTTAAGCTGCTCAGAGAGACACAGGCAGAATACAACATTAAACTAAAATTCAGAAAGAGCAAATTAAAATTTCAGTTTTCTACTTTTGAACCACAAACGCTGCTTCCTTGGTCTTATGGCCCTGTATAGTATATTATTAATGCGAACTTAAATTTAAAGAAAGGTAAAAGTCAGTCAATAGCACTGGCATGTACCAGGTAAGGTGGGGAGGCTCAATGCTACAGAAGTCATCAAGGAGGATGGCAGTCTGTGTAGCAGGCAATACATATTTTTGGACCTATCAAGTGTGAAAGGCTATCATCACTAATGAGGAACAGGTGTGGATGGGTGCCTACAAAAAGGGACTGAAAACGGGCCAGCACTGTGGTGTAGTGGCTTAGGCTGCTGCCTATAACACTGTCATCCCCTACAGGCATCAGTTTGAATCCTGGCTGCTTCACTTCTGATTCAGCTCCTTGCTGATTGCCTGGGAAGGCAGAAATGATTTGGGCCACTGCACCAATGCAGTAGACCTGGACGAAACTCCTGATGTACATTCTGGTCCAGTCCTGGCTTCTGTGAATATCTGAAGTGCGAACTCACAGATTGGGTGTATGTGTGTGTGCCCCTGTCTCTTTATGTAACTCCACTTTTCAAATAAATAGATAAATCTCTTGGAAGAGAAAAGAAAGTAGGGGAGGGGAAAGGGAAAAAGAGAAGGGGAGGAGAGTAGATGGGAGGGACGGAGGAGAAGAGAGAGAAGGAGCAGATGGCCCTGTCTGTGCCCCAGATTGTAGTTCACCCTATTCTTGACAGTAATAATCATTTTAGTCTGAAACAGTAACCCTAAGCTTTATACTTCTTTAAAGCTAACTGCATAAAATGAGGATAGAGAAATCAGTAACTCTTCAGATATCAACAATTCCCAAGTTTCTGGAAGGAGACAAAAACAAGAAAAAATGTGAACATTGCAGGCTAGTACTACCAATGGACTGAACCAAGTTCTGGGGAAAGTAAATGACTTAGAAATCCCAAAGGGTAGGGAGACAGAAACATTCCCTTACATGCACTCGGAAGGCCATGCTGTGGCCCACCTCATAGGGATCCTTCCAATCCCAAGAGACTTTGCAAGACCGGGGATCCAAGTAATTTCCCCGCACGTAGTCATAAATGGTCCGGTCCCCTCGGCGCTCACGGTCCTCATTCTGGAGGAAGCTGACTACACGTGCGGCAAGTTCAAAGAGGAACTTAATTGTGAAGAAGAATGCAACGACAGACACTGTGATGCCACCTAAATGAAAGAAAACACACAAACCATTGCAACTTCTCTGGATGGCACAGGCTAGCCATCTCTCAAAACCCGAAGGAAGTCAGGATGAGATCACAGGACTGACACAGAGGGTGAAGAGAAGCTTCAACACCGGGGTCAGCCACAGTCCTCAGGGTAAGTCCCACCCACTGCCTATTTTTGAGATCAAGCTCCAGCGGACTACAGCTACACACATTTGTTTACAAACTGGCTATAGCTGTTTTTGAACAACACTGTGGTTGAGCTGAGTAACTGTAACGAAACTGCATGATAGTCTTTGAAACCAAAACTATTTACAAACTGTCCTTTTACAGAACAAGTTTGTTGACCCTATTCTGTATTGTGAACTCCACAGCACAATGCTCCCACCATTCTCCCACCTTCCCACTTGTGCCAGGCCCTCAAAGAAGCTGGAAAAGTATACATGTTCGATTCCCTCCACTTGTAACCCTTCCCCTCCCTTGCTCACTGGACCATAGAGTCCTCTCTGCCTGCAGCAGGTACAGTCCTCCACACCACCTCTCTCTGGGTACTGCCAGCTCCCTGAAGGCAGATTCCTGCCTCACTCAATGGGATGCCACAGGAGGCAGTGCCTGGCACTGATGCAGATTCCCAAATAAGTTCTGCCAAGTCTGGAGGGCACAACATAGCACCACAACAAGTATTTCCAGCTCTCTTTGAAAAATGTGGTCAGGGAAGAAAAGGGACTTAAGCAACTCTGACAAAAAGACAGCAAAGAGATGGGGTGCATCTAAGTCACCGCCTGCGGTGCCAGCATCACATATTGGAAATGGCCTGAGTCCTAGCTGCTCTACCTCCCATCCATTTCCATGCTATTGCACCATGCAAAGCAGTACAGGATGGCACAAGTGCTTAAGATTCTGCACTCGATTGGGAGATTCAGAGGAAGCTCCTGGTTCCTAGGTTCACACCAGCCTAGCTCCAGCCATTGTGGCCATTTGAAGAGTGAACCAGTGAATGAAGACCTCTCTCTCTGTCTTTCCTTTTCTAGCTTTGCTTTTCAACTAAGCAAATAATAAATCTTAAAAAAAAAAAGATAATAAAGAACTCTTTCTATAACATACCAATAACGTAAAACATCAGGTCCCTTCAATGCCACAGAGAGCCGAGGATCACAGCTGTAGCTGCAAAAGAAATTGTGTTTAGTTTTTTTCTGCAGCCCATCCCTACAGCCTTCTCAGGGAGAGAAAAAGCAAAGCGCAAGGCTTGAGCTAACCAACGTGCTAATCCAGCCCTTCCTATCCACATTCCCCTCTCTCCAGCATGACAGGTGCCCTATGACACAGCGCATGTCTCCTAGCATGAGACACTGCATCATTCTCCCTTAAGACCTTCAAGTCTCTGGCCACCTAGGAATACCACACACAGACTCCTCCTGTTCTACTGTGAATTACAAAGGCAGCAACACAGCTTTCATCTTCCTAGATCCAGGACTCCCAAGACAGCTGCCCTCCCCATGCTAGTGGTGCCAATTAGCACAAGCAGAGAGAACAATGGAGACACTTTCCCCTTATACAGTATCAGCCTTCTGGAAGTAATCCAGCTAAGTAAAAATAGCTACATAAAAAGTTGATTTTTTAAAGTATTATTTTCACTTTATTTGCATTATACTATTAAAATGAACTCCGGGTCATTCCCTAATAAGCAGTAAGCATGTAAGAGAAGCCATTTACTCCATTGCCAATTAGACAAACTAATGGGCCCTCTGGAAGATGAGCTCGGCAGAAAGGCCAGGGAGGACATGGCGTTTCTCATCCCGAGGGAAGCCTGCCAAGATGAGAGACTGAGGGCAAACTCTGTCGTAAAACTCATGACCACAAGCAGTCTGTAATCTTCATTACTCACTGGATCATCTGAATCATGAAAGGTCCACCCAGGAAAAACGCAACATACACTGATGTTCATATCCTATCACTGAGTTTGACCTTGGTACAGGCTATCCAGGCTGCCTCCTCTACAATGCGCTGGATTCACTCTTTTCAAGTCAGTCTATATCAAGGTTATCCACGTTATCTCCACTGAGAATCATGTATCAACATTAGAATATTAACTTAGGTAAAATGTCTAGGATCAAATCTTGGAAACACTGAAGTTAATTGTGCTTGCTTGTTTGTTTGAGAAGATATGCTTTTATGTCTACTTATGCTTGGAAAAAAGCTAGAAAGAGAAAATGAGCCAGTCGCCCCTTTGAGGCCTATTTACTCAAGAGCGCCCACAGAGAGTAGGTAATCTGAGGAATGACTGTCAAATTCCATGGATAGCCCTTTTTAGACTGGTGTCTAAAATCCTATTAGAAAGGAAACCCACACAGAGATAATATTAGAATTGTCAATACACATTATGCTTATCAAGAGTAGCATAAGGAGACAATACAAATGAGACATCTGTAGCAGTCCCCTGGTTGCCAAAGCTAGACAGCAAAACAGGGTTTTGCTAAGATCATACAACAGTAAAAGCTGATCAGATTAAGGTACAAACTGAGTGGATCTAACAAGGGGTCCAGATTCACCAGTCACTATTCAACCCCTAGCCTTATTATATCCTCACTGAAATATATTAGCATGGTCAAAAGAAAAAGTCATTCCCTTTGTTAACGACCAGGGTAACTCATGGAAGTAACCTTTTATTTTTAAAAGATTTAAAAAATTTTATTTGAAAGGTTAAGTTAAAGAGAGAGGGGGGCAGAGTAGAGATCTTTTATTTGCTGGTTCATTCCCACAAAATTGTCACAATGACAAGGGCTGAGAGAGGCTGAAATTAAGAGCCAGGGGTCTCCGACATGAATGGCAGGGGCCCAAACACGTGGAACATCTTTTGCTTTCTCAGACACATTAGCAGAAAGCTAGAGGGCAAGTCCTGGAACAGCTTGGACTCAAAACTAAAACTGGTACTCAGGCTCTGTGTGACACTAGTGGCTAAATTCTCACCTTCCAACCACCATGATCCCATATGGGCTCTTGTTTCTGTCCAAGCTGCTCCACTTCCCATCCAGTCCCTGCTTGTGCCATGGGAAAAGCAGTTGAGAACAGCCCAAACCTTGGGATCCTGCACCCATGTGGGAGACCTTTAAAATTTTTTTAAAGATTTACATATTTATTATTGAAAAGTCAGATGTATATAGAGGAGGACAGACAGAGAGGAAGGTCTTCCATCCATTGATTCACTCCCCAAGCGGCCGCAACGGCTGGAGCTGAGCCAATCCGAAGCCAGAGTCAGGAGCCCCTTCCAGGTCTCCCACATGGGTGCAGGGTTTCAAGGGTGTGGGCCATCCTCGACTGCTTTCCCAGGTCACAAGCAGGGAGCTGGATGGGAAGCGGGGCTGCCGGGATTAGAACCAGCGCCCATATGGGATCCCAGGTGTGCAAGGCGAGGACCTTAACCACTGCGCCATCGTGCCGGGCCCAAAAAAAAATCTTAAAAATAATTTATATACTGGGCCTGGAGCAGTAGCTTGGTGGCTAAAAATCATCACCTTGCATGAACCAGGATCCCATACTGGTGCTAATTTGTATCCTGGAGGCCCCTCTTCCCTTCCAGCTTCCAGCTCCCTGCTTGTGGCCTGGGAAAGCAGTGGAGGACAGCCCAAAGCCTTGGGACCCTGCACGCGTGTGGGAGACCCGGAGGAAGGCTCCTAGGTTTGGATCAGTTCAGCTTCAGCCGTTGTGGCCACTTGGGGAATCAATTAGCAGGTGGAAGATCTTTCTCTCTGTCTCTCCTCTCTATAAAGCTTTCTAATTTAAAAAGGAATAAATCTTAAATACACACAGAATACCTAAAGGTCAGGAATTTTCCAGAGAATGCTTTTTGAGTTACAGTGTCAAATCTTCCTTAATCAGCATTCACATGAGACAGTTGAAAATTCTGTATGATAAACACATTGCCAAACACCCACCACCAGGGCTTCAAGTCTTGGGCCTGGCGTTTCTCTACAGCAGTTTCTACCTTCTATCCCTACTTTCAGTGGCTTATGCTTCTCCTGTATAAAATTATTTTGGTAGTCTAAAATGCGAATATAAACAAGTATTTTAAGTTGTTCCTAGGTTATTTCACACAATACAGTTACAAAAGTATTTTGTACGTTTTCAAATTTATCTCTTCTCCTGCCCTTATACAATTTAGTAAACTATGATACTGGAAGCTAGCAGAAAGCAAATGGTAGTAAGTAAAGCAGTAACTCTGCCACCTTCTCAGCCTTATCATTGGCCAAACACTGTCTTAAGTGCTTTACTTGTGTAAGTCCAAGTACTGTAATTGTTTCCACAACAACTTGGTGAGATAACCACTATAAAACTCATTTTACAGACACTTTTTTTTTTAAAGCAAGGCTTAGAGAAGTTAACATCTCACAGCTGGTTAAGAGACAGGGCTGCAGCTCCAGCCAGTGTCTAACTCGCAGGCCCAGGTCCCTTAACCTCACACAACACTGAATCATCAAATCCGATGAAGTCATAGGTTTAGCAAAGTTCTTGGGAAGAAAAATAGGTAAAACAAAGTATGAAAAACATTACCCAATCCTACTGTGAAGAATCTCAGTCAGGCTAAAATTAGCAAGATAAACCTTTACAACCCTTTATCTTTTGAAATAAAAATAAAAATGACGAACAAAAGTGGAATGCAGCACTAATTATCTAGTGCAGAAATACCACTTGCTTAGTTTAGGGTCCTGGGCAATCTGTTTAACATTACATACTCTGGGTCCAGCATGGTGACTAGCAGCTAAAGTCCTCGCCTTGAACATGCCGGGATCCCATATGGATGCCAGTTCTAATTCCAGCAGAACCGTTTCCCATCCAGCTCCCTGCTTGTGGCCTGGGAAAGCAGTCCAGGACGGCCCAAAGCCTTGGGACACTGCACCTATATGGGAGACCTGGAGGAAGCTCCTGGCTCCTGACTTCGGATCGGTGCAGTGCCGCCCGTTGTAATCGCCTGGGGAGTGAATCATTGGACGAAAGGTCTTCCTCTCTCTCTCTCCTTCTTTCTGTATATCTGACTTTGCAATAAAAATAAATCTTAAAAAACAAAAATTACATACTCTGCCTCACATTACCTACAAAAAAGGCAAAAAGGGGGGAATACTTGAAAAAAGGCTTGCCTCAAGAGAATGTTAGAAAGTTGTTAACAGGGTGCTTCAAAAAGCTCATGGGAAAGGGAATTGAAAGGTAAATTTATTCGGTACCAAAAAAATTGAAATTCATGCATAGTCTTTCATAATATGTATGTCCATGATCTTTTAGAAGCAACCTTTTCTATTGTTAAAACTTTCCTTTTGTGTATAAAGATGTATAATTACAGATGTATAGGCCCCAACCTTGAAAATCAGTTATGAGAAAGTTATTTTCTAACAATGAAGAATTGGTTCTTCATACTCAGAACTGCCTGCCAAGTCTTAAGAACTAGTCACTGGATCCATGTTCTACTTCCCAGGAACTTACTCTCACCTTACCTTTAACCGAGGGCCCATGTTCCGAGAACCAAGCACAGCACTCTACTGACCAGAGCAGGTAATTTTTGGCTTCCTCCTTTTGTCTTCCAACTTTTCACATGAAGGAAAAAAGTTACAAAATCACCAGAAGGTCATTGTCCATTAGACCTTCACTGAGGGTATTTCACAGTAAGCCGAGGATCAGCGTTTCTAGAATGAACTGAATGAATCCCAAGAAGGAGAAATACAGCCCAGGAATATATCATTCCTATATGTCTCTCCAGCACAGGTCGCAGCCAATTGCCAAAGGGTACATCTGGTCCAGTATCCCAGGATCTTACCCTGAAAGAAAAACAGATGAGTAGAATAGGTTTTTATTTCTGAAAGTAAGTCCCTAGAAAACAACAAAGAAGAGTTAGAACAGGTAGGAGAACCCTGAGACACAAAAAATAGCCAAAGACTGGTGAACTAACCAGGCACTGGTTAGTTTCCCTGGGGTCAGCCCTCCAAGCCCACACCAAAAGTCAACTGCTAGAGCTAGTGCTGTATCACACTGGCATCCCATGGGTGCAGGTGCATATTCTGGCTGTTCCACATACTCTGAGTTCCCTGCCAATGTGCCTGGTAAAGCAGCAGAAGATGGACCAAATATTTGGGCTCCTGACACCAGGAGATCCAGATGAATCTTCCGGCTTCAACTGGCCCAGGCATTCTGGCGCGTGAACCAGCAAAGATCCCTGTCTCTCCCTGGCTCTCTGTTAACTCTGCCTTTTAAATAAATCAATCTTACAAAACCAAAAAAAGTCAACTAGCAACTAAGTTCATGGCTGGTAACCATGTCTCTCCCTGGAAGGACACTCCACCATTGCTGGTGAATGTAGTCCTTGAACAGAGGCAAACCAGGACAGGCCTTAAAGAAGGCACTTTATCACAACCACATGTCCATTTCCATTTACGAGGCAGGAGGGCAGGGTCCGGGACCAAGCCTGAAGAGAAACAAGATGAAAGCACAGGCAGGTAGAACCAGGTCACCAATACCCTGGCTTGGTGTGTATGGGAGGGAACCAGGACAACAGCTGTTACAGAGGACCCAGCAAAGAGCTCTAAAACCTAATCTAGCTGCCTACGCAGTCTGCTTTTCTTTTGTGTATTACTAAAATCTGGTTAAACAAAGATAACTTTTTATCTTCAGAACAGTAAAATCTGCTATTACAAGTAAGGGGGGAAAATCTGTGAACTTTCAAAAACAAAGTCACACAGTCCAGTACAGTCGGTTGGTAACTCTCAAAGATACTCATGGACTAAACAAAGCAAGAAGCAGGTAACGCATATAGAACCATTGTTAGGATGGCTGAAAAGGGGACTTACTGAGCCCTAACTGCAACTGTTCTTGGTGTTCTCTGAGCACTAAATCACGGCCCTGAGAGAAGACACCTATCCCTACCTTACAGATGGGGAAACGGAGGTACCTTCCCAAGAGGACATCCAAACCAAAGAGCTAGATTATACCTGAAGAGCATACTTTCAGAGAAACCAAGGAGGGACACATGTAATGCTAGCAAGAACAAAGAATGAGAGAAGGCCAGCCGCTCAAGTAAGTTGGCAAACGTTTATAATTAAAAATAAACAAGTTATGTACTTTGAAAAAAAAGCATGGCAATAGACTTGCCAAGTACGTGAGCCAAAACCTGGGTCAGCTAGCAATTGGAACTGGTTTAAAGGATCCACAAACATGAGAGAGTTACATAAACCACAAGAGATCCCTGTGATAGAATGTTTCGCAAGGATTTTTAAAACAACACTTTTAAAGGATGACAACACGGGGAAATGCTCACAAATGTTAAATTAAAAACCAGGCACCAAACTGTTAATACAACATGAGACCAACCTTTAAAAAAGATTACACAAAGGAAACTGAAAGTGGCAGGCATCATGGCACAGCAGATAAAACCAGGGCTGGAGACGCTGCATCCAACATTGGGGTGCTAGTTCAAACCCTGGATCCCTTAACTTCAATCTAACTTTCTGCTATGCACATAATGGGAGGTGGTAGGTGATGGTCCACATAGTTGAGTATCTGCCACCCATATGGGAGACTGCAACAGCATTCCAGGACCCTGGCTTGGGCCTGACCCAGCCCAAGCTGTTACAACCATTTGGGGAGTGAACAGTGAATGGGAGATCTCTCTCTGTGTCTGTCACTCTGCCTTTCAAATAACTAACCACATCTTTACCAAAAAAAAAAAAAAAAGGCAGCACACTAGGGCTGGTGCTGTGGCACAAGAGGTTAAGCTACTGCGCGTAGTGTCAGCATCTCAAGTGAGCACTGGCTCAAGTCCCAGCTCCTCCACTTCCTATCTAGTCCCTTGCTAACACGCCTGGGAAAGCAGCAGTCGATGTCCTAAGCCCTTGGGGCCCTGCCACCCACATGGGAAACCTAAAAGAAACTCCAGGTTCAGCCTGGCCCAACTGCAACCAATGTGGCCATCTCAGGAGTAATCCAGTGGCTGGAAGATCACATTGTCTTTTTTCCTCTCTGTAATTCTACTTTTCAAGTAAATAAATAGATCTTAGAACAAAAACAAACAAAAAAGCAGCAGACTGAAAGGCAAAACCAAAATGTTAATAATAGTTTTGTTTCAAGATTTATTTTATCTCTATTTGAAAGGCAGAGTTACAGAGAGAAGGAGAAACACAGAGGTCTTTCATCTGCTGGTTCACTCTCCAAAGGCCACAACTGCCAGAGCTAAACCAAAGTCAGGAGCTTATCCTGCCAGGTCTCCCATATGGGTATAGCAGCCCAAGGCCTTGAGCCATCCCCCACTGCTTTCCCAGGCCTTAAGCAGGGAGCTGGAATTAAAGTAGAGCAGCTGGGACACAAACCAGTGCCCATTTGAGATGCTGGCACCACAGGTGGAAGCTTTGCCTACTATGCCATAGTGCTGCTCCCAATTTTACCTGTACCTTTCAGTGCTTTGTAAATTTATAATGGCACAAGGGTATACAATACAAGTTTGCACTGATGGGTGACAAATACTTTTTAGGGATCAATCTTCCTTTAAGGAGAACAGGAGGTAGCACTGTTGTGCACCACAATGTACTACCCTGTATTGGAAGCAATCCAGCTCCTTGCTAGCGAGCCTGGGAAAGCACATGATGGCCCAAGTGCCACCCACATGGGGGCCTTAGATAGAGCTCCTGGCTCCTAACTTTAGCTTGGCCCAGCCCCAGATGTCGAAACCACTTGGGGAGTGAACCATCAGACGGATGATCTGTTTCTTCCTCTGTCACCCTTTTAAATAAATATAACCCTTGTAAAAACCTGAAAAATAATTTCTACAAAAGCAGCTTAGACAAGTTATCCTTTTTATCCCTCAGATAAAGAACTGGAATAATGAAGTTAGGATTACAATGCACTCAACTCTTACTTGTACTCATTACCCTGTGCTGAGTTACCTCATCGATCCTTCAGAACCTTCACTGTCTCTATCATGAGCCACCATATTCATGCCAATGCTTCAATGCCTGTAATGAGTTGCAGCACTCCATTCAAGTATCCCACACCCCTCTGCCTCGCCCAGCTCCCAGAACACAAAGAGGACTTGACCCACACCAGGCAGAATCAGTAACTTCCTCCTTTGGAACACTGCTATGCTGATGATCCCTCTAGTACAGCATTTGTAAGGCCATATAGTAAATAGTGAATTATGTAGCAGTCTTTCCTAATGTATTAGACTGACATCCTGAGGATATTAGCTAGGTCCTGTCCATCTTTCTTTCTCCATGACTAGAATGGTGGCCATCTTTACTAGCTCACAGTCTGTACTTTCACAAGAACCTTGGGTGAGTCCTACGCATGCAAAAGTCTGAAGCACGGTCTGGACTGCAGAAGTCAGGCCTGCAGACGCCCACTACTCCCCGTCTCTAACAGGCTCCTAGGTTCTGCTGACGTTCCTTGTGCCACATCCTAGACCATGTTTTCAGGAGCCAGAGTCCAGAACAGGAGTCAGCAGACAGCAAGCCAGATCCACACATCTTTCTGCCTCAGCAAAACAGTCAAGTTCCTTCACTCACATAACTATCTGTGGCTGAATTCCCTCTACAAGAGCAGAGCCCAACAGCTGTGGGAGAAATCTAAACCCTGCAATGTTGCTCTCCGACCCTTCACAGAACAAGTGCCCCGATTCTTAGGGTAGAGGTCTTAGAGTATGTAACTGTCTTTGATAAATTAATGCTTTATTACAATTCAGAGAAATCATAAAAATTATTCTTCCTCTTAGGAAAAGGGCTGTAAAACTCAAAAAGGTATGTAAATGTTTCCAATTTCAATTATTATTTAAAAGCTTCATGCCACCCATAATCCAATTAGGAAGTAAAACAATCATTTCCCAAAGTATGTTTTGTATGCAATTGCGCTTAAATTTCATCAAGGCTAACTATTTCCTAGAAGTAGTATCTCAGGGATCAAATACTGAGTCCAGGTTCCTCATGATGCAGTATATATTACTGACTCCATCTACTTTTTAAAGTGCTATTCTAAAAAGCCATGAAGGGTGGGTGTTTGGTGCAGGGCTAAGACATCCGCATCCCATATTGGTGTGCTGGGTTCAAATCTCAGCTCCACTTGATTCCACTTCTCTGGTAATGTGCCTCCGGGAGGCAGCAGATGATCGCTCAAGTACCTGGGTCCTTGCCATTCCTGTGAGAGACCCAGACTGCATTCCAGGCTTTTGGCAAGGCTTTGGCTATTGCAGGCATTTTGGCAGTGAACCAGCAGATTTTTCTGTTTACATTTCAAATAAAATGAAAATAAATTAGGCATCAGTACTGTAGCATAGCAAGAAAAATCATTAGCTGCAATCCTCACATCCCACAGGGATGTCAATGTGAGTCCTGGCTGCTCCAATTCTAATCCAGCTCCCTGCTAATGGCCTGGGAAAAATCTGGCCCAAGTGTTTGGACCACTGTCACCCACATGGGAAACAAGGTTCTTACCAGCTTGGCCCAGTGCTGGCCAATGCAGTGATCTGGACAGTAAACCAGTGGATGGCACATTTCTCTCTGGCTCTCCCTTCTCTCTCAGTGACTTTCAAAATAAATATGTATTTTTGACAAAATTAAAAATCCATGCAAAAAAATAAGCCTATTTCAGAATTCTGTTATATAGATCCAATGACAACACAAAAATGATCTGATATCACCTACTCATCTCCACAAAATACAAGAGGATAAAAGATACCTGCTTAGCAGCAAGTAGTCTCCAGCATTTTCTGAACAGAGCACCAGCCACATTTCCAGAAATACCAAATTATTCAATTCACAAAAGACTCATGAGTTTCAGT